GGTAGTGAATTGTGACCTTGGCAATGCTCGTGTTCAATTAGTTGATAATTTTTGAGAGTTCAAAGGGATTTTATAATTATATTTTTTAACAAATTAAACTTAATTTTATTAAATTTTTGACAAGTGATAGAATTATTAATTATTTAAGCTCTACCATTTCTTCATAAAATTATGATGTAACCTCTGCGAGACACTTTTCTTTAAATGTACTCAAAATACTCGCGTTAATTGTATTTTCATGTAGTGCGTTATCTTGGCTATGAAAATTGCACGTAGTCCATAAAGCATTATTATTTAATATCGTCAACGTATTTTATTGCATTTTCTAGTTTATCTTTATCATTTTCGATGAGTTTATGATATAATAAAAAAACATCGATTTAACTTCTATTATTATATAATAAATGGATTTTCAGGTCCCTTCGTTATATAAACAAAAACTATTGCAATTGATAAGATTTATAATTAATAATAACTATTACATGTGTGTAAATTTTTAATAAAAAAAATATTTCTTTAAATACCTACAAGAAATAGATATTCTAATATATCAATCAGGAGTGGAGTAATATTTACTCCCATATTATATATATTTTTTTAACATGCGACAAGATAAAACCAAGACAGAGTTAACCAACTTACATACTATCATACTCTACTCATGCTTAGGATTTTTCATAAATATTTTAAAATATATATAAATAACCAATTAAAAACTAAAGAATTTCTCTAAGAATCTTGAGATAATACAAGAAACTTTTAAGATAAGTAATTATAAGAGAAATCTAAACTTTCGGCAGACGGCGAAAATGCCATAGATGTAAGCTTTATATATATAATATAATTGTTATAAATATCTATGTAATAGAACATATTTGAAATGAAGTAAATTAAAGCTAACATACTACTACTACAAGAGAGTTCTAGTAGATTTTTTTCCTGTGGCAACCCATTTAAACCTATATAGCAGATAATATGAAACGAAATACAAATACTTCTATATGGCTAAGGATATGGTTAGGTAAAGAAAGTGTAAAAGGAGATACAAGATTTAATAATATTAATAAAAATAATATTAACATTTTAAGTTTCACATGATAAATTTCCCTATTTTAGTTTAAAGGTCTTTATTTAGAACCGGACTGTTCAGATTTACTGTACAGATTGGAAGGCCGCAGAAACAAATACATACATTCATAGTTGTTATTATAAATACGGTTATAATGTTAAATTTAGTTTTATTAATTTATCAATTTAAATTCATTTATTTGATATACCAAAAATATAAAATAACACCAAAAGAAAATTTGCGTAATTGTAGTAAAAACATGTCGCGGGCCGTACTTTGGACAGCCCTGATTTAGAACATTACATTAAATAATATATAATAAAAAAAAAAATTATAATAAAACTGCAACAACAAAAATACTTTTTATAATATTTTAATTAATTGAATTTTTGGCTGACCATACAACTGTTTCCAGTATTGCCAAATACCGATCCCATAATCACTGGTCTTGAAATAATTCAAAAATATTAAATATCATATAACCTCCAAAATGATTCAAAAACTATATATCAGTGTTATATATATATTTATATTCAGTATTAATGTATCTTGACTGCTTAATAATTTAATTTTTAGTTTTTATACTGATGTAAATTTCTGGCTACGGACCTACTAATGGATTATTCATTTTCTAGTTTATTACTACTAAATAATTCAATAATTATTGAAATTAGCTTAAAGCCCTGAAAGTTTAGTAAAACAGCGAAAGATCGATAATTATGGACAGTGAAAGAATACTTGCTGAGCTGCCACTATAGCAAGCGCCCGGATCTTTCTTTTAAGAGTACGATATGATATAATATTAGCAGTTATAAAAAAAACAAATTGACTAAAACCAACTTTAAAAATATCTGTAATTGTTTATCAGAACAAAGAGAGTGTATTTTTTACATGAAAAAGCAATAAAAATAAATATTGTTTTGTAATCCAAACACATTCACAGTTTCCTCCCTTGCAGATGCAGATGCAAATGCCTATCTTTACCCAGTAGTAACTTTAATATCTTTGGGTCCCTTTTCTAACCAACCTAATAGAGCTATCGTTATTCCAAATTAGGTACACAGCTAAATTCATTGACTTGTTAGTTTGATTCATTTTTACTTAAATTGGGGAGTCGTGTCTTTTTCGACGTTGTCTATGCTCAGATCGCTATGATCTTTATATTTTTTTTTATAGTCGTCTTGGTCTAACGTATAAACAACGTTTTTAACCGTGGCATCAGAACCATTGTTTGTGCTCAATTGGGCTCAAATGGTATGCAATAATGTCAATGCAACCTAACCTTACCTAAATAGATTACATGCTTTATAGGTACTCCAGAATGTAGATTCAACCACTCTTGAGACTAGAAAAACATAATCCTACAAAATAAGGGTTATTATAATAAGGGTTATATAAACAATGATGTATAGGATTTTTGTCTTTGTACTTTTTAATTTATTATATAACATTTAACCAAGCACGTAGTTTCTGTTTTTCAGCAAAATATTCGTATGACTAGACTTTACTATTTTTTTGTCCCTCTCTTCCTATTAGAAAATATGCCTTAAGTATGGGATGTATCAAAAATTTCAAAATAAACTCCATTTGTAATTCATAATCAGACAAAGATCAGTCTGTTTAAGAAAATAATTCTGTTAACTTGAAGAAACCAAATGTTTTATACTATGTACTATCTTCCTCAGTACCTTACCCCAATATGAGTCATGAGTTATGAATCAATTTAAAAGAATAACACCATATTCTGTACTAGAGAAAGTATCTGCAGTCCAAGTTTTGAATAGCTAATACAACTGAATGTTATTTTATTTTCGCGTGCGTATTTGTTTAGATAGCAAAAAATAAAAAAAAAATTTAATAACAATTAACTTAGTAACAAAGCAGACAAGTCTGTTTTTTTTTTGTTTTTGTTTTTGGCCATCAGCAAACTTTGACGTAGTATATAGATAAGCTATGAGACGAATGTATGTAGCACCAGTATGTGCTTGATACCGCAGAATTTAGATGTGATTAATTATCATTAATAATTATTGTTTTCTTTTTTGTTTAGCGTTTCTCATATATTTTAAATACACAAAAACGCTCTTTAATAGGCGATGACTTGCATCATTAACGGAAAACTCCACTAAATCTTGGAAATAAGATGAGATATTGCAACATCTTTTATTTGTTTTTGATTAGCTTTTAATAGTTCGAAATAATTTATATTGGAATGAGTTGTTTTGAAACATTCAATTTTGGATTTAATTAAGATATAAACGATAAACGACACACGACACACGTGTTAATCAATTTAATGGAATATTTTAAAGATTATTCTGAGGTTTAAACTAACGAGTTTAAATCCGCTAACTTATATTTTCTTTATTATATAGTAAAGTTGATAAATACCATTGTATATGCTTTGTTTTTTTTTTTATGATGAAATAGTGAAGTTTGAACTGTCGCATTTGTTCCTACTAGTAGGTTTATTTAATTGAAAACAAGTATTTTTAGTGACACTATTTATAGAACAACACTATGATGAATACGTTTCTTCAATATCTTTTAGTGGCCCCAAACAACATCATGCAAAAGATGTTTGTTTTTTTTTTGTAGTAAATAGCTCTAATTCACGCTATCCCGATAATCTACACACTTCAGCGATTAACTCGCTACTGTTATATAGAATATATTAAACTTGAACAGAAGAACAATGTCATAAGTAACGCTACAGTTAGTCCATATATTTGAAATATACGTATTTGTGCGTGATAAGTCGTTGTTTTATACATGGTTATATACGGAGCTAGCACAGTTCTTACTACTCGTAAAAGAATACTTTCTTTCCAACACTGGCCTGTTGAAAACCTTTTTGTTGTGCTTTCGTGGCCTCGACGAAACCATTGCTTCGGTATGAACCCTTATCAAAACTCATAATACGAAGAAAAAGCAGACAAATGTAACTAGGAGAGAGATCTTCACTCCAAATGAGATCTCTTTTTCTTCACAGTTGGGTGTTTATTTGTGTGGTGGTTTCTAGTTGAAATGCGTAGCGTTGAATTTTGAATAATTTCGATATTATTCCAGTGTATCTCGTACAGCAGTATGGTCCATGCTAGTGTAACATAAGCCACATTAACAAAGCTACAAAGTCACATGAATAAATAGAAAATATTTGGAGTTTCGTTATTTATTCACCTGACAGAACAGTCATCCTGTAAAATTACGGACTTTGCCAAGTTAAAGATTTATTTGGTTTGTTCACTTTCACTGGAATCAAGGAAACGTGTTTGTTAGCTATTTCTTTATGCTAACCGCTACGATTTTTTCGGGAATCCCACTGGTATACGTATAAACAACACTATTTTGTGATATCACAATGGGCTATTATTTGAGCTTCGGTGAATTTTTAGTCACAAAGCCGCCTCTATAGGGAAAATATGAGAAACACTAATGACAACATAGTCTACTGTACTAGATTATACTAGATATGCAAGGCACAAGAAATATCTTTCTTCTAGTCAAAACTGTAAGTGTTAATTTTAAGGAATTACAGTATATTTGTTTTCAATCCATTTATATTTTTCGGTATCTAATAACGCCTGAAGAGATTTTATTTTCGTGTTTTTTTCTTTATTTTTATTCTTTAATATTAACTTTTTTATTATTTTCTTTGCAGGTTTGGCTGGATTCGTTGCAGCTGGTGCCATCGGCGCTTACAAATACAAAAATCGTGGCACGATGAGCACAAGTGTTTTCCTGATGCAGTTGCGTGTGGCTGCACAAGGCACTGTTGTTGGCGCTCTGACGTTGGGTCTGGGCTATACCATGGCAAATGAATACTTATTCAAAAAAGAGAAAAAAGACGAGTAATGGCATTTTGCATAACTTTAGCATTCAAATTATATTTAATTTATTTATTAATCACTTAATTGAATTTATTTATATTTTATATAAAAAAAATCCCAAAGTCTTTTGAGAGCATAGTTAATTTTTTTTTTTTTTGCTTTAAGAGCTTATATAATTTTATTTATTTTTATATGTGACTAGTTATTTATTGTTAACTGTTATATTTTTATATTTCTTACTTTTAATTCTCTAATTTTATTCATACTTCTTAAACCTAATTTCATTTCATTTATTTATTATTTTTACTTTTATTTCAGAACTAATTTGTCAAATTAATTGGTCTTTATTTTTGGATTAGCAACTCTTTTTTTAACAACTTAAAATTTAAAGTAATTCAAAATGTACATACATCCTTCCATTAATTTTATTGAATTGTTTATTTGTCAACTTGGCATATTCAGACAAAGCACAGACAAGTTCAACTCCAATATCTAACATATAGCCAAAGTCCTCACTCAATCAGTTGCAATCTGAAACACTCTCATACAAATGGAAGCTCATGGATTTTTTATAGCATAATTTATTTTATAATTAAAGTATTTATTAAATAAATTTAAACAAAATATATGAATGAAATTTATTACGAAACAATAGGATCTAGAAATATATTTTATACGCATGTTGAGCATATCACTCTGATATGCATGCTAAACGAAATGTACCTTTAAATGACATCATTGTAAACTTTGTTATCCTATTGCCTGTGATATTAAGAAGATATGACACAAAATATATTTAAATAAAATAAATTGATTTTAAAACAATATAATTTTCATTTTCTTTTTTTATATTTTTACATAAATATACCTGCACTAAAAATTGAAAAGTATTATTATACTAAAGAAGATATTTAAATTTCAGCGGGTTGTCAGAAACTCTAGTGTACAGAGTAATTTTTCTACTGATAACATCAACAAGTGCTTCACAGCTGCTTGAAAAAAAAATGATCCTTTACTTACACTTAAAAGAATTCAAGCAATAGTGGGAATATTTGTCGATATTCTTTCTCACAGCTGGGCATTAAAGCATATGGTTAAGTTAGATTGGAGATTAGCGGCCTTATAGAACAAATCGCACTTAAGCTCAAATAATGGCCGATTGTATAGCATGGATTAGCGTCATTCATACATAGACCAGAAGAACCGCAGTTGTCAGCATATGAACAACGCTGAATACACGACTCCCTGAAAGTAAAAATCTCTAATTTTGCAGGATAACAGCTCTATCAGTTCGATAAGAAAAGATGCCACTAAGATTTTTTTGTGGCCAAAGATAGGCACTGACAAAGGTGAAATACGAATTCATCACAAGTACGACAAATGTCAATATACTAAGCACACCTAGTCTCATAATATGTCTTCCAAGTATGCAGTGACTTGTCAGCATTGATAGTTCTGAAGAGGTTCCGCTTTAGTTAAAACAGCTAATTGGTACTTTTCTTGCTCAGTTTGGACCAAGTCGTTCTTGAGATCTAACAGGAAGAATATGGTACGGTTCTGAAAGTCTATTTTCGCTTTTTATTAAGAGATATATTTATAAGCTTTTGTTTCTTATAGAAACAAGCTTAAGTTACCATATTGTAATATATATTTCAATTAATGTAATTTTATCACACGCCGACTAAGGCCTAAAGAGCCATATGGGGTAGTTATATTTCTATATTAATACTATAGCACCACTTAATGTAAAATTTACCTAATATTTAATATGCTTCATTAAGCAATTGGCAATCACATTACTAAAAACGTTATTTTGCATAATAAACCTAATTTATTAAATTAATTAATAATTGTTTTTTTTTTAATTGCGCACTACTTAGGTTGCCACCTTATTAATAGCATTATCTGAAATACAACAATATCGCGGTCTTGCACCCCTCCCATAAGTCACTACACCGTCCCCGATTGCGCACCATGTCATCAAGTTACCACCTGATGACTTTTAAAATTCGTCCTTAACTGGAATTCAATCCCATACTCTTGTTTCAGATGCTGCTGCTAATTATGTCGTTGTATCGTGATTGCTTGAATTCATTAAGGGCAGACTATTTTAAAACACCCATATGAAAATAGCTTAATTACGATAGACAAAAAATATTATTATATTCAAAATGGAAGGCAAGACTCCAAAAATCATCATAACATAGCAAAATATATTGTCAGTTTACACTATAGACACTGAATCCAATTAATCGTTATTAAGCTACTTAGCTCAGTTATCAGTTCTTTACTTCTTGAAAGTTCTCAAAACAAACCAAAATTTTCGAAAAATATCAGAACGGAATTCACAGCACAATAAACCTTCACGGTATGAAGGCTGTAATCTTTTGATGATTTTAGCTGATCAAACGGCGGCTTTCGAACCTATCAAATAAAAACCAGACACACTTTTTATTGTCTTTGGAACATAAATGTAATAATGACAGAAGTTTCAAAATCACGCTGCAATGGGTTTTTTAAGTTAGAAATTTTTAGTTACTATCATTTTCGAAAAGATGCTATAGAATATCAAAAAGCGACCTAAACAACCGAATTCAAATTTATAATCAAATATTGATTTATAATCAATTGTTCTCCCCTCATTATCACATCGACTTTACGTCAAAGTTTCAATAAAGGTGCATCCACACCAAAACGAACATTCACAGGTAATCGTACCTGAAACTGTCGTCTTAGTATAATTTTTCAAAGTATTAAACTGTTTACTCTAAAAACTATTTCTAAACGAAAGTTTATCATCATTGCTATAATCTATAATATTGTCTTCTTATGCTACATACAAATGGCATAGCACAACGAAAATTATTTTCCTTTCATTTTAAAAAGTATAAGTATTAGTTAAAAAAAAATAATTTATTTTTTGTTTTACTATATTTAAAACACAGTAAATCTTGTACATTGCTTAAAATATACGCTTATAGTAAACGTAAACCGCTTAAGCAGAAGTGGTTGCGGCAGCTGGGGTAGCAGAATCAGCTGCAGCGGCTTCTTCCTTAACACGATCCTTCTTAAGTGGACCCATGAATGCCAACTTATCGGCTGGTGTTTGGAAGCGACCATGACCCATTTTAGATGAAGTATCGATGAACTTGAGTTTGATATTTTCCAAAGCAGAACGCTTGGTATGTTTCAACAAAGATTTACGCAAGGTGATCACACGTTTCTTTGAGCCAATACAGCATCCCTTAAGCATAACGAAATCATTGTTGACTTCACCGTAATGTGGGAAACCACCCATGGGTGTAATGCTCTTGTCAGTTAAATCGTACTCAGTGGAGGCATTGTTCTTGATAACCTGCAATTAATAAATTACATTTAATATTATTGAAACTGTTTAAATATTTTATTTAAATTTATTTAAATAATTTATATTCAGTCCTATCATTTTGTTATCACGTGGTAGTCAAAAAAATTAAGTTTTTGGCTCTTAAATGATTTATCATCAACTAAATCCCAAAAATTTTTTTCTATTAACGTGGAATTTTAACTTACTTTGCCATCCTTGGTGTGTATGCCAGCACCAATACGGTAGATCTTCTTGTTGATTTCTGTACGATGATGGTAACCCTTCTGACCGGCACGTGCAACGGTGAAGGACACACGAGATGGATGCCAGGCACCAATACAGGCAACCTTACGCAAACCCTTGTGCGTCTTGCGTGGCAATTTCTTTGTATGCCAACGTGCGGTTACACCCTTGAAACCTTTACCCTTGGTGACACCAATGCAATCGATCATTTCATCTTGTCCAAAGACATTGCTGACTAAGATGGGCTTTTCCAAATGTTCTTTAACCCATTTCACTTTATCTTCAATTGAACCACCGTTCAATTGAATTTCCATGATGTGTGCCTTCTTTTGGCGTTGTTTAATCAAACGAATCTATACAAAAAAAAAAAATACAAAATTAATTATAGAAGCAAGTGACAAAGATTCAGACATATTTTAGTTAAATTGTAGAGACTGTTCGTGATATGGTTTAACTGCGCGATCAAGGCCTAAACGACTACGCACAGTTAGTGGAATATATCAAGATAAGCCACCCGAAGGGCAATTTCTTCTGCGACGTTGCAGTTTTTACAGTGCATTGAAAACACAGCCCAACCGCTTTTTAGGCACACTCGCTCAAGGCACACTATGCTCATCCGAAAACAAACAGGCACGCCAAGTGCAAATGTACCAAGGACGTCGCATTTTTTAAATTCCTAAATTAATATAATTATTATGAATATGCATGCTTACCTGAGAATGAGCAATGACGCGGATGACTTTGCAGTAGCGGAGCATCTTACGGAAATCGTTTTCAATGCTCTTCTTGCCCAATTCGTCAGTCCATTTCTTGCTGGCCTTGGTGTGGGCCTTCTTCTTGGATTTGTACCTGCACAATAGCGATTTCAAAGAGAATTCTTAATATGATTTTTATGTGAGACGCAGAGCAGACAATTTAACAGCAAATCCTCATGTGACTTTCAACTTAAATTTTCTAATGTGCGATGAACATAAGCTCCATTGGTGTATGCCCGACACGCAACTTCTTTGCCTTTTTGCTAGGTAGACGCGGCGATAACTTGCTTTTGAAATAAAAGAAAGCAAAGGAAGCAAACCTCATCGCAATTTCAAGCGAGCGGAGATTAAATCTTCCATGCCGTGCTCACGGTACTGATACAGAAAATTCGCCAAAGTTTAAACTCATTAAAGAATTTAATTTAACAAATTTCTATGCTCACACGACAATGAAATATTTTGAAAGTTCTCTCAGAAGACTGATCGAAGAACTTTATGATTATATTTTAAGTTTAATTAAGTGTACAATAATTTATAAAACAAAAAATAAATGTAAATGCTTTGAAAACTTAAAATTTTGTATACTGATTTTAATCAGAAGGAAGGCAGGCAGATGGTAATAATTTTTTATCTACACTAGTATTTCTGATACCATCTATCATCATCCAAAATCGTATACAAATTTAAATCTAAAAGCGCTAAGTAGTTTTCAAGGCACACAAAGAATACAAATGGTGGCTTAATAATTAATTAAAGCAAACTTACCAGTTCTTGTAGAAACGACGACGGCACTCTTCGGACAAATGCTGTGCCCAAACATTAACCAAGGCACGTAAGCCGAAAGGTGTTTCAATGTAACCAACAGCACCAACAACAATCATTGGTGGTGTTTCCAAAACGGTAACAGCTTCAACGACCTCCTTCTTGTTAATCTCTGCAAAGTAACACAAAAAAAAAAAAGAAGAGAGCAGATTAGCACGTGGTCCACACACATGTTTAAATTAAATTATTTTATTATAATAATCAGTCCGCCCTAGTTGTTTTAAAATCATGGTTGTTCATTTAAATAACCATAAACATTTTCAAACTTTCTCTCATCATTAAATTATAATAGAATATCTTTTTTAACATCGACGTAGAAAACTTACTTGAACCAGGACGATCTGCTTCACGCACAACATGTGTCATACCGGCTTTGTAGCCCACAAAGCAAGTTAAATGTACTGGCTTGGATGCATCATCTTTAGGGAAAGCCTTAACCTTACCACGATGGCGACGTGAGCGCTTCTTGGGGTAGAAAGCCATGGAGCCATGGCGTGGCGCGGAGAATTTACGATGAGACTGTAAAAAAAAACAATGTTAATTTTTTGTAAATATCTTGAAATTAAATTAAATCTCAAGTGCAGATGATTTTAAATTTTATGACTGTATTTTACAATAATCTGACTATTTCACTTTAAACTAAAAAAAAAAAAAAATGAGGTTATAGGCGGAAACAAAATGGCGATTACACGTGTTGGAAAAAATTTACAATCACCTGAATTGATAAATATTTATACACTTAATATCTTCATATAATCTACCAATTAAATAATTATTAAATGCAATAAGAAAGTTTTCCCATCACATAATTTAACAACTATTTAATATAAATTTATCTTTCAAACACTTTTTATATCTTACCATTCTTTAGATATTTACGCACGTCTTCACTGGTCAGACGACGTTGAAAGAAAGAAAGTATTAACGAAAAATCTGCAAAATACGAATTAAAGTAGACATGGCGTCTGTGTGAGTTTGACATTTCGTGTAGTTTGACATTTTTAAGCAGCCCATACCTGAAGATAATGAATGAGCATATCTAATTATTTTAACACTTAAATTTATAGTTCATGGTTTAATGAATTCTAAATAGTTCATGAATTAGTAAACAATTAATGAATAGTGACAAAATTGATTATTAAAAACGTCACAAAAAAACAAAAAAAAAAAAATTCATGAATCTTATATTTTTCGGCTCTATAAATAACTGT